GATGAATTCTTGCAAGTATAATTTTTCCTTGCGTTCCATCTCTTTCTAGATGCAAATTAAATTTATAATACAATCGATGCTTCGATAACGTAAGAAAGAAATCAACAACTAATTCTTCCACATATTTTTTCCTTATCTCTCATATTCAATTGAAATACATAGCAATTGATTATTATTAGATAAAAACTAATAATTCATTGTTATATTTGGTTCATAATCTATAAAATACTTATAAAATAAAACCTATAAAAAATTGTAAAATACAGTTTCATAAAATAGTAAATCAATATAAATAACAGGATTAAAATTGATCAAAATATTTATACGATTCGAGACTCTAACACTCATTTTCACCAGAACATTTGCATCAGTGCCAATTTTCTGTCCCTTCCTGTTTGAACGGTGCAAACTACTGAAAAATACGATGTGTCATCCGATAAAACAAAATGAAGCAAAATAACTGGCACGTCGTTTTTTTTCTTTTCTTCTTACTCTTGACGATATAGTCGACGATAGACCGGACCGATAAAGAAGAATCTTAACGAGGGGTTGCAGTGAAGTTAAACTATACAGAGCCGTTGCGGCTGGGGGCGGTTTACGGCGCGAGGAGGTCGACCGGTTATTAGAACGTAGAGCACGAGTTGCCGGGAAGGTGTCTAATAGCCCGCCAAGAGTACAATCGCCCTCGAAAGGTTTCGGCGCGGGGATACGTATTTTACATATATTTGCATCCCGCCGCCACAAATCCAGCCGATCGCGAAAGGTCGTTGCGGGTAGCGCGGGGAGGCGTCTCTATCTTGGCAAACCACTCGAGGGAACTCGTTGAGGTGTGAAATCTTTAATCTGTTCAACTCTTTTTTTTCTTGTCCAACGCAAAACGTTATTTTAAATTTTATGGTAAAGTTCTCTCAACATGAAAATATTTTTCTAAATCATATATGAAAATATCAAATACGTATATTATACAAATAGAAAAAAAACGACAATCAATACTAAAGAAATATAAAACGTCTTAATAAAGTTTATTAAATTTTTAATTAAAGCATTTTTATTATATTAAGTTTTATTTTAAACCATCTATATTCATATATATCATATTTCTATTTTATATATATTAATATGATCATTAATTTTAGGCTTTTCTAAATAGATAATAATTTAGACACATTAGCTGCTGCTGGTATAGCTTCTTTATCAAATTTATCTATTTTAATTAATAAAGACACAAACATGGAAAGTATAAAATTATAAAATATTTGTATCATTAATATACAATAAAATATTAAATCATATTAAATCATGTAACGCAGTAAATGAAACGATTTTTCTTGTAAATAAATGTTTAATTATACATCCATTTATGAATGTTCAGCCGTCTCACTTAAATCCTAGTTAACGTGAGCTTTGCAATGTATCAATGGGATACTATCTGTGAGCTTGTTAAGAGATATAAATCAGTAACCTCAACTGAGGTATTTATGGAGATACATTAGCTTTCCGCGAGAGTATAGAATGCCAGCATTTATTTGGTAATTTCCGGCAGTCCGATATTCATCTCCCGAATGCTATTGCGCCAGAACGCGATAGAGTTGACCAATGATCTCCAGAGATCAGGATTTGTGTCAGGACCTTTGTCAAGTCAACTGATAATTGGTAGTGAAAAAGATCGTTAATCTAGACGTTCGTTAATTTAAAAAAAAAGTAAGATAAACTTGCCCAGCCTAATGAAATCGTATTAGGATAATTGTCAAGCATAACAAAAATGAGAAAAATATTCAAATCTTTAAAAACTCTGTTTTATATCAAAATATTTAACATATTGAATTAAATAATAATGTAATTTACTATTTTATTAGTAAACAAATATTTGATAGTAAATATTTGAATTATTGCATGATGTATGATTAAGAAAACGCTACAAATATTTAATGCGGAAGCTAAAATAAAATAGTTCTATAAAAAAAAGAGAGAATGTGATGTAATAATAATTTATAACAGTTTAATTACCGTGTCATAATTTTGCGTTATAAAGTAAAGTAATTAAGAAAGTATAATATATTTCCCGCTGGAGAATTGGTAAATTAAGGTGAAGATCAGCCTTACGGAGCTTATGATGTTGTACGTAGTATTCTCCAGAGTGCTGAGAAACAAATAATCAAGGATTGAATATCGGTGTCTTGTAGTAGCAATCACGGCTTCCTCTAGAGGTACTATGGTGTCCGCCAAGACGGCCATAGTTGGCGAAGTTTGACAAGTTGGCGGTAACAAGGACGGTGGTACCAAGTGCCAAGAAAGTTCCGAGGAAGGATCAGTTGATGCATAGTCGCAGGAAGAAGGATGCGCCCTGCTAGCAAAGGATGTGTTCCGCGGGACAATCGCGAGTTACGTATACATGGAAAACGCTGAATCCGCCTGTGCTTAGTCGAGTTTCGCAACGAGTAGTCGAGGATCCTGGAGTTTCTGATGGCGTGGGTTACAAATTCACGAGCAATCCCGAACGCACGATTTGCTCGCAAATATTTGTCGGCAGCAGTCCTTAAATCATTTCGGAATTCTCATTTCCCGCTCAATTTTCCGCCCTTTAGACTTCATAACAACCGGAAATTACGCGCAATATTTATATTTATATAAGTATATGCAGGTTTCAAGTTACGTATGTACAACTATATAATATGATAATATTTAAATTTTATCAAAATAATTTTATTCAAATAATCACTATTAAATAAAATTACGTGAAAATTATTTTTTCACATTTATTTATATATATTATTATATTGAATTTATTTATACATTTATTTATACATATTATTATATTGAATAATCAGAAGATACCTGATACGATTATGCAAATATAATAAATGTAATTATCCATAAGCCAGCAATTAAAAATTATATTTTTATATTTTGTGTAAAAATGTATAGTCACATTAAATGTAATATTATCTGCAATATTCAAAGAGAAGATAGAAAATAATATAAATGTCAAAATACTAACGGATTATTGTAAAGTCATATTTTCTTCTAGTTAATAAATATATTCAATCTCTATCGATATTTTCTATAACCACTTAATTTTCAATTATCAAAGTTAATAACAATTATGTAATATCGCAATATGGAACGATTTTATCAAATGCAAATAAAATACAGATAAATCACTTTATACCAATAAGACCTTTGTACATTTTATTCTCTTTAGAAAGCCTTTATACCTTTGACGTTACTCACAATTAGTGAACAGTAATAACACCATGGAAGAAAGAGTAGGTTGTAATACGACGAGTTTCTATCAAAGAAATCCTGTCACTTATTCCAGATAAAACAAATGAACATACCACGCAGAGTTGGTACATTCAAAGGATCGCGTCCCATTGCCACTCATCAGTGAAATTGCACCAGTTCTACAGCTGAATGTGTTAGTTTCTTTGTGTAACATGATAATCTGTATTGAGTGCGGAGTTCAAGAGAAAACATTTATAATTTTCGAACAGATAATAATGCTGTGTGTGATATTATATTTATCTGATGTATGTGATACGATGTTCTCTTAACGATGTGGCTTTACAGTAACGCTTTACTCGACAAAAGCTTACTAATAATTATGATTTATATCATTGGTTTGATAAAATAATAAAATGTCCGAGTTTTATAGTGCAAATAAAAATTTATGTTACATTATATTGCATATGCAATAAACATCCATTCAGATAATGTAATATTTTCAATAAAGAATTTATATATAATGTTTTGAATTAAATAGCTGATTTTTAGTTATAAGTTATTATTATTATCAAGTATTTTTAGTTATTTAATAGCTATAACTCTTTCATATTCTATAAATATTTTTTTATAAATAATTTCGATATTTGTATACATTCTGTCAAAAAAGTATCGGGAATTGTCGATTTAAACTGCCTGCGCTAGTCGAAGGTATGAAAATTTTTTTTCCCAGGTTGGTACAATTGTCCTTTATTATGATGCCAAATTTGAGTGGAATCTGTCAACCAGTGTGTTTACAACAGCTGGTTAAGTCAGTTGATGTCAGTAGTGCGTGCCGATTTTTACAATGAGTGAAAATATTGAACAAAGAATTTGTCTCAAATTTTGTGTTGCGAGAGGTAGCACACGAACTTAACATGTCCCATGAGTCCGTTCGTTCGATTTTGGTCGATAATTTGGGCATACGATAATGCGCCGTCTCACCGAGCTACGATTGTGACCGATTTTCTCGCTAAAAACTCAACAAATGTACTTGAACAACCACCGTATTCACCAGATTTGGCATCGTGTGACTTCTTCCTCTTCCCAAAACTGAAATTGCCGCTCCGGGATACCCGTTTGAAGCCATAAAACAAAAATCGCCGCGTGAACTGAAGGCCATCCCGGAAAGCGCCTATAAGAAATGTTTCGAAGATTGGAAAAAACGATAGCATGCGTTGCTTCAAATGGAACCTACTTTGAAGGCGACCCAATAAATTTTGATGAATAAATGAAATATGTGTGTTTTATTTAACAATTCCCGGTACTTTCTTGACAGAATGTATATAAATTGTGATTTTTAAATAGTATAAGGTTATTAATATAATTCTATAAATTTATATATATACATTGTAGTATAATTTTTTAATTCACTCTTTGTAACGTCTGTATTTTCTATTATATATATTATGCTTATTCGCATATTAAATAGATATGTATTACTTCAACTCTGAGAGATTACTTCTCTCGTTTGCGCAGATGTATGTTTATACTACTTAATTTCAGCTGATATATTTCTTCTAGCCTCTTGTTTGCAGAGATTTGAAATAATATTGAGAATTATTTTCCTTTATTTTTCATATTGATTATCAATATTGACTTATCCTCTTTTGCAATATTAAATGTATACGCAAGTCTATATCATATTATATTCAAAAATTATTAAGATTTTTTTAAATATAAATATAGAACAAAGACGATATCTTTTCAAAGAAAAATTAAAGGAGTTTGATCTTTACCAACAACTTCGAGAAAACCAACGATGCTGGACATCGGGTCAGTATTAACCTGGCACATGTACCAACCGCTGTCAGACTGGCGCGTATATTTTATATGCAGGGACCACGTTCGATGGCCAATGTGTGTCACTGCGATCCGATGATTCTTCGTGATAACGTGACTTGATATCGTCAGAATCGTCTGCGTATCGACTCGTAGCCACGCTACCTGCAATATAAAAGTAGAATCTGATAAAACGAGTAGTACCATATAATTTAATTCCTTTAATTTATTTACAAGTTTGCAAAACTATTATTTGCAAGTTTGTAAAACTTTGGCATACAACATCGATGCTATGATTTTATATTCTAATATTTATTTTATAATATATATATACTGCTTTTAATTTATATCAAGTTTGTGCAATGTGTATAATATAAATAAAATTTCAAAATTATGCTCGATGTAAAAAGTGCGATATGAATAAGAGCTTCATATTATACACAGAACGGCATCTTATTGCTTTCAAGTATTTTGAGAACTTTCTAGCAGAAGTTTCAAAGCAAGAAAAAGTTTTATGTAAATACTTATGTACACGAAATGCAATGCTTCCTAGATATAAATCAATTCGTACTAACAGCTCAGACGAATGATTGTGGAAGGTAAAATAGCAAAAATATCGAAGAAATATAAAAATAATAATGTTATTTTAATATTAAAGTCTTTTATATATTGATTGGCTTTCTAACAAAAATATATATCAATATTTTTCACATTAATACTTTAAATGTTTTTAAAAATATTTTAATTCCATTAATTATTTTAATTACATCCTTTGGGTAATCACGAAAATAAGTAAGAATATATCAAAATTTAGCAACTCTTTCAGTTTTTGAAACAAAAACTATTGCTCTTTGGAACTATTGCTCTTTGGATTAAATTTTTAAAATGTATTTTCGAGATGTACATCCAATTTTTCCGCATCATATTCAGAATGACAACAAATGCTATGGATACTTTATACTCTTCTTGCCTGTTACCAGCTGCATAAAAGGAGTTAATATTTTATTATATCGTGTTATGTAAAACAAATTTGCATGTTTTGCAAATTTTGTTTAACGAGAAAAATGAAAAAGAAAATTGCATCCAGAAACAATTTTCAACTGATTCTATTACAAGTAATAACTAGAAGAAAGTGACAAAATCGTATTATAATTTGATGTTAAGCGACTTTTATATAAATTTCATATTAAGACTTTTTTTTTAAATTAGCTTTATAATATAATAATAATATTTGCATGAAGTTATTAGCTCTTATAAATTGTGCAACTGCATATACATATGTATGTACAGAGTGTTTCCGCGATATACACATCATTAGTCGGGATGTCCATCGTCAGGAGCATACTTTATTAGACTCACTGAATGAGATTAGAATGTGAGTTCAACGGAGAGGGAAATCTTATCATTTTATTATAGTAAATAATTGCGAAATTTAATAATATAGATAAAATGTATATTTAATAATATATATTATATATATATTTATATATAATTATTTATTTATTATGTATTATTATATATTTATATGTAATATATTTTTAATAATATAGATAATAATAATATATATAAAGTATTAAATTCTAATAAATTGACAAATTTCGTTAATAACACATTATAACATTTAATTATAATATTTAATAATAAATATTAATATATATTAACATATATTAATAACGTAAATTTAATAAATAAATTTAATAATAAATATTAATATATATTAACATATATTAATAACGTAAATTTAATAAATAAATTTGAACAAATATAATATAGTAAAAATATAATAAACAAATATAATAAAATATACTTATAATGACAAATATTTTTTATCTTTAAATGTAATAAGTTATAATAAATGTTCAATATAAATGTTCAATATAACCATCTTCTTCTAAACATAAAGCAATTCTGCGCATGAAATTTTCTTTCACGCGACTTATCATGAGAGAAGTGATATCCGCACATGCGTTACGAATTCTATTTTTAAGAATTTTTGCATTTTCCGGCAAGATGTGATATATTTTATTTTTTAAGATGTTTTATATAAAAACGTCCATAGGCATAAGATCCATGGGCAGACATCACTCTTCTGATAAAACAAGAGAGAAACATTTTCAGCAGGATTGCTCTATGTTTAGAAGAAAATAGTGATCATATCGAATTTTTATAATTTGTTATATTTAAATATCAAATATATTTTTTATTATAAGTATTTTTCATTATATTTGTCCAAATTTGTTTATTAAATTTTATTTATGTTATTTTATCTATTATTATTTTATTATTAGATAAATATTTTATTTATGTTATCAAATTTTACAATTATTCATTATAATATCCGAAAAAATGTTCTTTATTATAAACAATTTAAATGTATTCTCACATGTCTTCTTGTTTTTAAAAGCATTTGTTTTTATAAAAATATAATTTGATCTTTAATCTATCAATAAAACACTTAAAAAGTGTATTTATAAATGCATATGAGTCAAAAATATTGTTCAGAATTTGTTCCACGATTATATTAAATTTCTCAAAGAAGAAATATATATCATATTCAAAGAATACAAGTGTCAAGTTATAAAACTACCATTGTCAGGAATCAAATCAAAGAGCATAATAATGTACGCAAGTACCTAGTTACCATTTCACTTCTGTATCTCATTTTCTATAAAAGCAATCCTTCTTTTATTTGAACCAATATTCGCGGAATATATGATCTGCAACACACTTTGGAACACACCTATCGCTTTGTGTACTGCAATCTATATCGCAATCTAGTCGAGAGATCTCATTAAAAAAGTAGATAACATTCATCGTGCTTATTCTTCATAAGAGACAAAAAAAAAGGACAAAGATCTCGTTGAAACGACGCCGCATGCGGTTTTATTTATGAATGTCCGTTGCGAGTCTTTCATGCTCCATTCCCTCTCTCTTCTATTCTCGGCAATCCCTTCAATTACCGTCTTTCCCGTCTTTCTCATCGCGGAAGCTGTCAACGCGTCTCATCGTCCAAGTGCTACCGACAATGTGCTCGACGCTTACCAACTACGCTCGTAACATAAAGAGGACGAGAATGGGGAGAGAAAAAGACGAAAAGAGAGAGAGAGAGAGAGAGAGAGAGGGGAAGAACGAAAAAGCGAGAAAAGGAAACGGAAAAAAAAAGAACTTGTTACGCCGAAGTCGTAATACACTCGACGTCGTTTTAGAGCGCACACGTCCACCTCTTCTCTCCACTCTTCATCGGCCCGTAGGCGATGTGTCGCGCACAGTTGCAAGCGCCACGTGCCTCGTATGTACCGGACAGGCAGAAGCGGTCTAGTCGAGGAACGGCGAACGAATAAAAGGAAAAGGACGATTTCAGGGTAAGCGGCTCGAGGACGAAGAACGAGGCTGGAAAAACGGGGATTACGTCCGCCGCGAGAAAGAAACGGAAAAGAAGGTGCCGGAGCGCGGGCGGCGAAGAAAACGCGAACGACGGGGGTGGGTAGGCGAGGGTAGTAAATTGTGCGCGCAAGACGAGGTGCGAAAGCTCTCGGGAGCTGATAGAGAAGGGTGCAACGCGCGCACGCGTCTATCTACATGCATGCATACACTCTGTTTCTTCTCCTTTTTCTCCTCGGAAGCATCACCGGTATCGGTCCATTACGTACGCATGATGGACTCGACGAGCACGTGTAATGGAAGCACGTCGTCCTCTTTTATCCCGCACGTTCAGGCCCGCGGTCCACGACCGAGAGTCCTCATCGCGGCAATTACTCAAGTTCGTATGCAGGACCGAAATGCAGCCGAAATGCGACCAGCATTGCGGTACGACACGTTTCGCTTTTACGAATGATTCGTTTCGCTGTGTACATAATTGCACGTTGCCGTAATCATGCGGCCGCGCGCGCGTTTGAATAAACCCTACCGCTACGGATTTGTCTCGTTTTCCGCCGCATTTCTCCTCCCGTGTCTCTTCGCATCTCGCAAAACAACACTTCCACGTCCTTTTTTCGTTTCGCTGTTTTCTGTGCTTTAGATGCGACTATCCGGTCTGTTAGTTGAAAGCGGAGAGGAAATCAGAACTCGGCGGCGACTCTTTATTTTCGTTTACGTCAGTCGCTTGTACAAGGCAATGCTCGTGTATACCTACCTACCTAGCTATTTTTTTTTATTCGGACTCTTTCCTCAACATTCCTCCTCCTCCCACCACTTCGCAACCACTCGTTGCACTACCTTCCCGCAATACTCGTTTCATCCCTTAGTTGCACCTACAGTATGAAAGAAGTATCTGAGCGTGTAGTTCTTTAATTTCGCGAGATATCTTCTCGAGGGCCGAGCGCTTTCGCGACTCGGATTCGCGGTGAAAAATGACTCGGGCAAGTTCCCCTTGAGAGTATATCGTGTCCTAACCCGCCGGACGATCGCTCATCCTTTCTCCTTCGATTTCTCTTCCGTTTGCGTGCGCTCGCGTAATCGTCGTCGACTGTAAGCGAGAACATTGATACGAGTTTGAGTATTTTGAAACGAGGATAATGCCGGCGAGATTTAAATACGTTTCAAAGAGACCTGTAGCAAATTGAATATCGTTTTAAATGATATTTTAAGGTAATCTGTATACTCGAAACTTCGAAATTTCGAAATTTCGAAATTTTTAATAATATAAATTGTGTAAAAATAATTCATTTTAAGCAGACATTAAACATATCGAAATCTTGCTGACATTGTCGGTATTTCTAATATATAAAATATCTTAAAATCATAGATTAACGAAATTAGTATTCATTTATTATTAATAATTAATTATATTATTAAGTATTTTCTACAACGTATTTTCTTTCTACAACGATAGAAGTACGTTGATATAATTATATTTGTTTTAAAAGCATAAAGGAACTGTTATAATTTTATATGTCCCTAATTGGGACATATAAAATTATAACAATTGCTTTATGTATTTCTAATATATAAAATATCTTAAAATCATAGATTAACGAAAATAGTATCCATTTATTATTAATAATAAATTATATTATTAAGTATCTTTCTACAACGATAGAAATACGTTAATATAATTATATTTGTTTTATCTAATTGGGACATATAAAATTATGACAATTGCTATATCAAGTGCTTTTGAATAATTAGATAAACGCATATATTGTGCTAATATGTACTCGTATTAT